TGAGGCAGCCCAGCTTGGCTCTGGAGCCCGGGGCGGAGGAGACCGGCTTGGGAGTGGGTCTGAAGGCTGGGGCGACCGAAGCCCGGCTGGCTTTGGGGCTGAGCTCCCGGGCGTACAAAGCCTGCTTGAGTCTGAGCACCAGTATGCATTAAGCCAGACTGGACACCGGCGTGCCCCAGCCCAGGCTGGTTTTGGGGCACAAGCCCTGGACGAAGCCCTTGTTGGGTTTGAGCTCCGGGGTGCACCAGCCCCAGCTGGTTTTGGTTCTGAAGCCCTGGGCGGAGAAGCCCTGCTTGGTTTTGAGCCCCAGGGTGCACCAGCCCCGGCTGGTTTTGGTTCTGAAGCCCTGGGCGGAGAAGCCCTGCTTGGTTTTGAGCTCCAGGGTGCACCAGCCCCAGCTGGTTTTGGGGCACAAGCCCTGGACGAAGCCCTTGTTGGGTTTGAGCTCCAGGGTGCACCAGCCCCAGCTGGTTTTGGGGCACAAGCCCTGGGTGGAGAAGCCCTGCTTGGTTTTGAGCCCCGGGGTGCACCAGCCCTGGCTGGTTTTGGTTCTGAAGCCCCGGGCGGAGAAGCCCTTGTTGGGTTTGAGCTCCAGGGTGCACCAGCCCCTGGTTTTGGTTCTGCACGCCCGGGCGTATTAAGCCCCGCTGGGGCTGGGTGATGGGGTGAACCACACCTGGCTGGGGCTGAAGCCCCGGGTGAACCAGGCTGGGCTGGGATTGGGACTGCAGCCCGGGGTGCACCAGCACTGGCTGGGTCTGAGCCACGGGGTGAACCTGCTCCGAGTGGGCTTGGGGAGAGAGCTGGGGTGCCGGGAGGGTGAGGGTGGACTGGGACACGTGGTGCAGGAGGCCAGGTTGGGACAGGGGGACAAGGACATCAGGCTGGGTCTGGTGGACGCTGTTGCCCCGACTGGCCCGGTGCTCCATGTGTGTGTTGCTCTCCGTGAGGATCTCGTAATCCGCCGGCTGCGGGCAGGTCATGTTGACTTCGTAGGAGGCAGCCAGGACCCCGCTGAGCAGCATCTCCTCCAGCTGCACCCTCAGGACGTAGCGGTCCTCCTGCAGCGGGGCGGG